TGATCAATAAACCAAAGGAATGAAAAGTCAGGGGAGGGACCCTGGATCCATGGCAAATCAATGCCCTAAGTGTCTCAGAATGATCCTAGGGTAAAACCCTTCCTCCTTCATTTCAAAGTCTGTACTGTATTCCAACACAGAGGTCTTCCATGGCAACAAAGTGTGAGAGTTGTCCATGAAATAGAAAGTAGAAAAAGGCATTTGTCTTAGCTTATGTCAAATGGCAAAACAGGAATTCCATTGTTCTAATTTAATTATCCAGCTGCTGAGGCTCTACTTAAATCCTTCCTTCTAGCCCTTTCTCTGATATAAGGTATAGTCTGTGTCTCCACTTAGGACTGGGTGAGTAATTTCCTCTAACAGCAATCTTTTCTTTCTTTTTCTTTTTCTCTCTCTTTTTTAATAGGAGTGTGTTAGGCGTTCCTTCAATAGACCAGGAAGGTCAACACATATGTGCCAGAGACCTCTCTTGCTTAATGCAGAGCTCATGCAGACACCTTCAAATATAAGGTAATCACCCTTGCAAGACTGATTAGCTACTCAAAATGTGGGCCAAGGCAGGTTATTAAGTTCTAATCCTCACCACTTCATTATAGCTTCCTCACACTGTTAGCCAACAAATTAAGTCATGGGCACAATTAAATTTCTTCCCTGGTTTCACTGCCCTATTACTTCCTATTAGGAACTGTATTCCCCTACATTTTCTCTTTTTTAATTTATATATAACAGCGGAATGCATTACAATTCTTATTACATATATAGAGCACAATTTTTCATATCTCTGGTTGTATACATAGTATAGTTACACCAATTCATGTCTTCATACATGTACTTTGGACCCTACATTTTCTTTTTAAAAGAGGAATGTGAAACCTGTAGCTTTATAAGCATGATACTTTGGGGATTTTTACTTTCTTGGGCATACAGCAGTTGGGCTTAGTTTTTATCATTTTTCAGTGGTCCCATGGGATTTGGACCACCTCTATCCCAGAGGTTCTTTCAACATACCTCCGGTCTGTGGGGTAAAGTTCCACAGTGACCACATCAAGAGAGTTCCAGGCTGAAATGGTCAGTCCATTGTACAGACACAGCATGCCTATCATCATGGATTCACTGGTGCCAAACCAAAGGAAGAAGCAGCTGATTCCCGAGAGCACCATGGAGCCACCTGCCAATAATACAGATTCAAGGTGAAGTGTTTCCTGTCATCTCAGCAGAGCAAGGACTCTTGAACCTTTGAGAACTCTTAGGAAAACAAAAATCCATGGGAAAGTTGCAAACTGGGTTCCATAAAGCTCCAGTACAAGGGTGTTCACCTATATGAAAGTTCATCTCCCTGCTTTCTGAAAGCAGCAAGTATGAAATGCACATGTTCCATTACTCAGTTACTTAAGTGGAAAAATATACATTAGTTACACATAATTAGTTTTTCAGTCTGTTAACTCATGAAAACTGCTCAAATGAAATGTAATTAGACATAACTTTCACTACAATTTAGTTTTAATGAAGGGTCTAAGGGATTTCTCCTCATGGGATGTAAATCTCCAGGGGGAAGGGTACATAGTAGGAAGCAGGCTCCCCCTAAAGTACAGGGGCAGCCCTTTCCTTCTACATGAAATCGAGCACACACCTAGCATGGTTAAGCGCCCAATTCTGTCCATCAGGAGAGCAGACACGATGTTCCCTGGCAACACTGCCAATGTCCCCAGGAAGTTGACAAAATAAATCCAGTAGGCACTGTAGTCATCGTCAAAGGTAATCTGGCAGCCCGTTTTGTTATGAAAAAATGAGCAGTTTTGAAATTCGCTGTCAATGAATTTATATGGCTCAAAATCTGTAGAAACAACAGAGAAAATTCATCAAGCTCTTACCAGGTATGAGCAACATACCAAAATCAGAAAACCTACAATGAATTCAGAAAAAATCAGGGCTGGGCTGACTTGACTTTTCTTCTCCAGGCCAGATCAATGGTTTCTAGTCAAGTACCTCACATTATAAACGAACAGAGGGAAGGGTACCTTTGTTGAATAAAGGAATCAATTAAGTTAAAGAGTCAGTTATCTTCTGATTTCTATAGCTGGCTACTGCAAATTGTATTACTTGCTTAGTCCTTTACAAGATTACTTTATTCTAATTATCATGCTACATAAAAGCCATCATTATAGCACTAATAGTTTCCACACTATAATTATAAAAACAATTTGTTTAAAATGTGCATGGATCAACCTTATTATTGCTATTTTATGGGACTCAGAGGTACCCAGGAGAGGAAATTTCCTTGGGTTCCTGAGGCTGCAATTTAAGGTCTACGTGGACGAATCCACTGAGGTGATTCTCCTTTGAAGGTCATTCTCCTTGTGAAGTTTTTCTTGAACTTGGCTCTAAGAAGAATTGCAGGTGATAGTAGGTGTTGCTGAAAACCTTGTGATAAACTTGTTATCTAATTTGCTAATCAAGATTTTCCTAAAAAACCTGGTCCTCTGAGGTTCAATGGGTTAGAAGGTAGTGAAAGACAGCTCTATTTAATAAACAAAGACACTTTGACCCCATTCTCACTTGGAGCCAGGCAAAGCTTCTCTTGTCTGAACACCAAGAAGGCAAGGCTGATCCTCCTGACAGTGACAAGTTGTTATTCTGGACTCATTTAATAGGATCAATGTGTGAGCATGGGAGAACATGGGCTTTATAATCAGATAAACCCATCTTTAAATATCACTTGTTATTGGTTCTATGATTGTGAACAAATTATTTAATTTTTCTAAACCTCTGCTATTATAAAAACTAATTAGATGATGAATGTTTGATGACCTGGAAATGGCATATGGTAAAGTCTCAATCAGTGTTGGCTTCTTTTTTTCTGACTTTATTATATTGATTGGGATAAAATATAATATTTGAGCATAGATACATGTTGTCCATATCTGTTACTAGAGTTAATGTATGCTCTTTTAAGCAAATGCCAGATTTTGAAACCAGGATTCCGCAGGTTAATTCTTTGCTTTAAAAATTATTCACCAAAGGATTTTTTTTTTGTGTGTGTGTGTGTGTGTGTGAACTCTGGACTTAGGCAAGCCCCATTTACACTAAATCTGACAAAGAAAAACAACACAAGCTTACCTTTGATTCAATCTGACTCGGGGAACTTGTTCATTTACTTTAATCTCCACTTCCCACACAAACCCCTAGCCACATCATCACATGGTTATCACATTTCTGCGAACAGCTGGGCCTTTTGAAGAGGCCCCAGCTGGAGGCAGAGCTAACTGGCACACATACCTGTGTTGTCAAAAACAGTATCAATAAAAGTACAGTTCTTGAAGTAGGTGTTGACTGAAGTCACATCCTCAAAGGTACAGGACTTAAACACTGAGTCTTTGAAAGTTACGGATTTGAACTTGACCCCTAGAAATCTGTTCAACACACAAATACACACAAAATTCCCATCAATGACCTATAGCCATTAGAGTTCAAAGCTAAGTCAAACAGGTTTAGAGATGTAATGCCTCATGATAGACTTTCTTAATTTTTATAAGAACAAAGGATTCTGGGTTTTCTAAGCTCTTTGCTTTTCTGTTTTTCCCCTTGAGCATCCTGGTCTTTGTCTCTTTCATTGCTCACTGTCATTTCCTGGTAGGAGAAGCAATGACACTCAAGCTCACTTAGTTTTTTTGCAATGTTGGTAAAAGGTTTTGTGTGGTATGCAATAGAAGGTAGAGTCTGAAGATTACCTATTACTTATTTACTTTAAAATCCTACATTCCTGTTTCTTCAGATATGCCTTTATTTGAAAAAAGTTTAGGGTTAATGTTTCTAACTTGATGATATGTTCCTACCTGAATTTTTATTTTTGGGGCAGGGCTTTACACCTGCTAGACAAGTGCTCTACCACTGAGTTTCACTTCCAGCCCCCTGAACTTTCAGTGAAAATCTGTTTCCTGAGCTGACAATCCCAGGCCTCTTCATTCTAGTGTGGGGACTTCCAATTATCTTGAAGAGAGGGCAGAAAATCCTGTTTCATTTACATGAAAAATGATTGCCTCCAGGTCAGGAAGTAAAAAGGTTATACTCATTTCTAGGAGTATTTTCTTCCTCAAGGTCAACAGATATTCCTTGAGTCAAATAGAATTAGGAGAGTTCTGTTTACGTTTGGTAGAATGATGAAACCTGCTGAGAAGTCTTTTGGGCATTGGAAGGGGGAATTCTAGGTGGTAAGGATAGTAACAGTCTTAATTAACCATGACATCTTAGGAGAGTCTGTGATTCAGATTAATAAGGGCTCCCAGCTGACACATATAAATATCATCAATGTATCTTAGTTCTATATTAAGACTGGATATACCCTTAGCTAGTCACTGAGAGGAAAATGCTTGATCATCTGGGAAGGAGCTTCTATACCAAGACTATACCTATTAAGGACAGAAAGGGACTAATCCTTCTAGGAAGGTGAGCTTACTTGAAAGCAATCACTAACTATTGAGTACTTTCAAAATTATTCTCATTGTAATACCTGATTACATTTGTCAGTACAAAATACACTGTGGCCTCACAGACCAACCAGCCTAAAAAAATAATCTAGTTTCAACGTGTACTGCAGGGATGCAAAGGGAAAAAAAGTCTATATGCACTAAAGGTTATCAGTTTTTTGAAAGTAGATTGAATTTGGAAAAGGGAAGCAATTTTAGGTTTTTTTTTTTTTTTGTTTTTTTGTTTTGAGTACTGGGGATCAAACTCAGAGGCACTCGAATACTGAGCCACATCCCCAGCCCTAACTTTTGTTTTATTTAGAGACAGGGTCTCACTGAGTTGCTTAGTGCTTTGCTTTTGAGGCTGGCTTTAAACCCGGGATCCTCCTGCCTCAGCCTCCAGAGCCACTGGATTACAGACATGGGCCACCATACCCAGCTCCTTTTATTTATTATTTAAATCTATAGTTTTTAGATGTTAATGGACCTTTTTTTATATTTATTTTTTAGGTGTAGATGGACACAACACAATGCCTTTATTTTTATGTGGTGCTGAGGATCGAACCGAACCAAGGTCCACCCGTGCTAGGTAAGTGCTCTACCACTGAGCCACAATCCCAGCCCGATGGACCTTTATTTTATTCATTTATTTATATGCATTGCTGAGAATCAAACCCAGTGCCTCACACATGCTAGGCAAGTGCTCTACCACTGAGCCACAACTCCAGCCCCCAGCTCCTTTTTACTTTATTTTGAGACAGTGTCTCACTAAACTGCCCAGGCTGGCCTCCAAATTAAAATCCTCTTGCCTCAGTCTCCTGAATAGTAGGATTAGAAGCATGTGCTACTTTGCCTTGCTCATCTTAGAACTTTAGTTAGTAAGTAGTTTAGTTAGTAACAAATACCACTAAGATTATGACTGAGACAGTCACAAACAGATTTTAGAAATTTCTAATAGTAACAATATATTTTTAAAGTAAAATTCCACCCTAGAATTACAGAACATTTGATGCTAAGGTTTCTGCAAAAAGTAAATGCAGATTCAAGCCAGTATTTCAGGTGGGAGAGTGAAGCTGATCAATGTGGCTTTAATGATTAGGCCCTTCAAAGATTGCAAATTAGATTAAGACCTCTTAGTTGGTATCTCTCCTGTCCATTACAAAGCATCCACAGAATTTATCTTACTGAACTGATTTTTTTCCCCTTGGGTAACTTTGGTTATTTTTGATTTTTACTTTTATTTTTAAATTTGGGACAATTTCTTAAGAATAATGTAAGCGATCAGGAACTTGTACCAGCAATTACTTTCTCAAACAACACATAGAGGAACATAAGTACGTCACCTATTCCTTTCTCTGTCTGAAATAATGAACCAGAACCAGCTTCCTGTTCACTTCTGTCTCCTGACATCCAGAGATGTTCCAGATCCCATTCTCAATAGCATCCCTTGGTGCTTTCAAAATACTTACATTGGAGGAATCATTTCTGTTATCTAATTGAAACAAGTAAACTCATACAATTTAACTTCAATGTTTGATTCCACTTACTGGAGAAGGAAAGAATTATGAAAAGTGATTCTCTTTCTCAGGAATGAAAGACTCATCACATTACATTTCAGATTTCTTCCCTGAGTTAAAGAACCTATTACCCATTGCATTTTCTCTTCCCTATTTTCATTACTCTTCAAGGTCTTTCTGAATTTTCATTTCATAGTGGTCAATCTCATATTTAAGGAGTGTGACGCAACTTAGTTTCAGAAATAGTTTAAATGAAGCAACTGATAAACATGTATTTTCCAATTGGAAGTGAATTTCCATTCAGCCTGAAAATTACTAAATGTACAAACTAAAAACAAAACAAAACGAAAACCCCTACAGATTTCGGTGCAGAGAATACTAGTAAGAAATGAGTTTTTGTGAATAGCCAGGGATTTCAAAGTTTCTAGACCTGCCATTGTCGTATTCCATTCCAGTGTGAATCTGATTTTCCATTGTAAAGTTAATACTGAAATTTGCATATTTATCTTTTTGCACATTTCTAGTCAGCAATGCATATTCATCAGACTGCAGATGTTTAATGACATCAGGGAACCAAACCGATAATCCATAGTACCTGCAAAGATAAAGAAACATGAGTTTGTAAAGGTGCTGTCATGCCTGAGGCAGTAAGTTCCTCCCCAACATTTTCAGAGCAGTGATGGTTCCCAGTGAAGCACTTTCAGTTCTGACTGGCTCTCTATAGCATTTGAATGAATCAACACACAAGTCATTGGTGTGCTCCCTGCTCTTTTAAGAGTAATCTGCAAAAATCAGGTTAGGGAGATAGTTAGAGAGGTTAGCTGGGAAACCCCATGTAGGTAATCCCTAAACTCTTTCTTTGGGAAGTTATACAGAAAAAAATCCCATCCTATACCTAAAGTGGTATAGGTGGTGCTTTGGTTGGAATGTGTAACCCCCAAATTGAATCTTAAACCCCAATGTGATGGTGTTAAGAGTTGGGGCCTTTAAGAGATGACTAAGTTGTGAGGGCTCATGAATAAGATTAATAAAATGTAGGTGTGCAAGGAGCTGCCTCCTTCCTTTTGCTCCTTCTATCTCTTCCACAATGTGAGATGCTTAGTTCATCCCCAAGGAAGATGCAGCAGCAAAGGGCCATCTTAGAAGCAGAGCCCAGGCACTGTCCAGACACCCAACTTCCTGGCACCTTGATCTTGGACTTTCTAGCCTCTAGAAATGTGAGAAATAAATTTCTATTACTTATTAATTACCCAGTCTGTGGTGTTTGGTCATAGCAGCACAAATGGACTAAGACATATGGCAACCTGGCCCCAATGTCATTTTTACCATTCCATGCTGCACTGAGAAACCCCATCTCTCTCCTGTGACCCAACATGCAGGAGAGTCTTTTCAGGATGACCTCTTTTGCTCATGGAGACTCTATTGGTTCCTATATTATTGTGACACTGCTAGTCTTGGGTACAGTCCCATTTCCTAAGGTGGCTCAAGACTGTGGAAAGGGACATTAAGATCACTATCTGAAAAATCAGGTTATTTCTGCCACTTGGCCTCTAACATAGTATTCTAACAGCTACATCATGCTTTTGTGCTGTTCAGACCAGTGGTCACTAACCACTAGGCAGCTGAAATGCAGCTAGTTCAAACTAGATGTGCTATAAATACAAAATATCACAGGATTTTGAAGACATGAAAAAAGAATATAAAATCAGTAATTAATTCTTTTTATATTTATTATATGTCAAAAATGATACTACTTTGGACATAATAAGATGAATAAAATACAGTATTAAAATTAATTTTGCAAATTTCTTTTTATTTTTTTTGTATGTGTTTTTGTGTCTATCAGAAAATTTAAAAGGACATATGTGGTTTGTATTATATTTCTAGTAAACAGAGCTGCTCTAATGTAGTAGGTTTCAAATGAGATCCCTGGGCCAGTGCCCATGAACTTGGCCCCAACAAGGCCTGATGACTGAAAGACTCTGGATATGGAGTGTTATTGTTCTAATGAGCACTCAAACATGGGAACCACTATTCTAGTTTGTCCCCAGTGATGCTTAGCTGTACAGGAAATAAGTGGTTATGACCACAGCCTTTGCAGTCGGAATAGGTTTGAGTTCCAGCTTATCACTTGCCAACTTTGTGAACTTGTGCCAGTTAGCTAAACCCTCATTAACCCACCTACTATATGGTAATGGATAGTAGTACCCACCTTCCTTCCTGGGTGGTTGCTCAGATTAAATGGAATGCAAAGTACCTAACATACCAAGGGGGTTCAAAACATAGTATGAGCCATTTTTATCATCATTATTGCTATTAGGATTTCTGAAACATCTGTGCCATGTATCTATTATGAGACCATGTATCTATTATGTATCTATTTTTGTGACATGCTAATCTTGGGTACAGCCCCATTTTCTAAGGTGGCTCACGACTAGGGAGAGGGACATTAAGATCACTATCTAATACATCTATTATGATGAGGTTGTGAGGCCAGTCACTGAATAAGAAATGACTCAGGGATACTGACTTCATTCCCACTGTTCTCTAGTTCATAAACATAGAACAAAAACTTAAAAGTGGCAACAATGAGGGAAGCTTGCTTCCCTGGAACATTCATCCGCATGTGGAACAGTTTCAGCTACTTTTTCATGTATTCAGCAAACATTTTCTGAATGTCCACTAAATGTTAACATTGTTGAATAATAGCAGTAAAAAAATGTGGTCATTACTGAGTAAGTTACCAAAATAAACACCAGATAATCTTCAGGTAGCCGTTCACCTTGAGAGAAGTACTTTCCTTTGGCTTATCTTTGTCTTCTCTGTACCTATGCTAGTGCTTAGTATACAGTAAGAACCTAATATATGCTAATTTTCAGCTATCCTTCCTTCCAACATTAATGGATTTTCTAGAAATTGTGTGAGAATTACTTTCCATATCCTAAAAACAAAAACAAAACAAACAAAAATACCCAAAGCCCTTAGCTTAAAAATGAGGAACTGGATGACACAGCTAATCATGTCACCCAGCAGAATGGGCTTCTATGACCCTGGTCTTCCTGCCATCCTCCTTTCCTTGTATTATACCTTACCCAGCACTTGGGAAAGAACTATCATCTTGGACCACTTGCTTGTTCTAATTTGTTGCTGTTAAGGGAGAATTTGCAGAGTAAATATTGGGTTCCACCAGGCATCAAAATCCTATTGGGCTGACAGTATAGGGTACCATCTAGTTGCTTTTTTCTTAACTGCAAACTAGGCAACAATAGAGTTACACATGCACATTTTAAAGTGGAGATGTCAACTATTAGCAAATAAAATCCCACAAATTCTCCCTCTTTTTTTTTCTTAGAACAAACATATGGCATTTTTTTTATTCATTTGGCAACAATGATTTATTGAGCTTATATCATGTTCCAGAGATGTATGTCAGTGAACAAGGTAGTTTAAAAATCCTGACATTGTGGAGTTTCCAGAGGGGTAAGGCAGAGTCTTATTTCTTACACAGAATTTTGTGTAATAGAAGGTAGAAAGTGCTACAAGGAATAATAAAGCCAAAAAAGATAATAGAGAATGTGGAGATGCTATGACTTAAAAAGAAAGAAAGAAAGAGAAAAAAGGGAAAGAAAAAAAAAGGTACTTAGGGACAGCATCACCAAAAAGGAAAGACTTGGAGTGGGTGAAGAAACAAGGTGAGCAGCTGTCTGGTGGCACCATTCCAGGCAGAGGTGGTGCAAAGGCCTGAGATGGAGACAGTTTGCATATTCAAGGGAGAGCAGAGAGGCTGAGTGGCTGGGGCCAAGTGGAAGCATAGAGGACACTGGACAGTCACAGGGATGAGTCATCCAGGGCCTTATCAGACTTCCAAATGCTATTGGTTTTGTCAGCCCAGGTTTATGAGACAAGATAAATAAAATTTATTTTTTATTGGTTTTAAAAACCCATAATTTTCGGCAAATCTAAGCTGAAAATAAAAACATTTTTTTTAATCCTTAATAGATTAATAACATGGAACTGAAAGCAGTGTGGCTGGGAATTACGATATAGCATTTAATGATTTCACTCACCAAGAATTTAAATATCACTTACCCAAAGGACAGGGTGAACCAAACGATTGTAAGTTTTATTGTATTTTCCCTGACGGGATAGTTGAAACATCTCATAAAAGTCATCCAAATCTGTGAAGTATTAGAGAAACAGTTTTCTTATGCAATTAGTCAATCCCATTCCCTTGCCCCTTTCACTGAATTATAAGAAAGCTGAATTTTTGTTGGGCTGAATTCATTTCAACCTAAGGCCCAGAGGGAAACATATACTGGAATTTTCACTTCTCAGCTTCCTGAAGGCCAATGGACTGCAAGATAGCCTGTCTATGGCCATTCACCTTCCTACCCAAGGACAGGGCACAGTGGCTAGCTGCTGATCCCAAAGTGGTCAGATTGCTTAGTCCTCATCCAAGTTCAGATGTCCTAGACAAAAAGGAAGAATCCCAATGATGGGTTAGGTAGGGTCAGCCCCTCTTCTCACTATCCCCAATTGTAAGAGGTTGACATGCAGGTCAGTGCAGAACTGGGTACTTACTCCATACAGTTCTGTGCGGATCCGAACAAAACACCTTCTGTACCATGTTCCGGTATCACTCTCAATTTCAATCAACTCATCTATTTGTTTAGGGGTTTTGATTTTATTTACCTGTAGAAAGCAACAGAGCACAAAATGCTGAGTTCTCTTCTCTAAAGTTACTGAGTTTAGGCTGGCGCTCTCTCTCTCTCTCTCTCTCTCTCTCTCTCTCTCTCTCTATATATATATATATATATATATATATATATATTTTATTTGTTTTGTTTTGTTTTTGTTTTTGTTGTAGTTGGACACAATACCTTTATTTCATTTTTTTTAATGTGGTGCTAATGATCGAACCTAGCGCCCTGCAAGTGCTAGGTGAGCACTCTACCACTGAGCCACAACCCCAGCCCTCACAATATATTTTTAAAGAAGTGAAACCTGACTCCTATAAAAAGTGATATTCAGTAATTACTCCATACAAATAGGAGACCACTGGTGTAAGTATACAGGTCCAAACAGCACCTAAGAGAACTGAACAAGAAATGAGTGGCAGGGGATGCTGTAGAGAAATGGAGGAAGAGGAAGTAGTAACAGAAAGATATGAAAACAAAATACCCTTCTCTGAATCATTACTATGAAGAAGACATTAGCAGATAAAACACTCAGATTAACTTATGCATTAAGAATTATTTTGAATTAAACTCATGAAAAGTATAATGCGCTAATAAACAAAATGTCTTATTTTTTTTAAAAAAAAGAGTTATTTTTCTTGGGAGTTAGGGCTATAGCTCAGTGGCAAAGTGCTTGTCTAGCATGTGTGAGGTGTTGGGTTCCATCCTCAGCACAAGAGATAAATAAATAAAAATAAAGGTTCATCCACAACTAATATATATATAAAAGAATTATTTTTTAAAATATTTTTTTAGTTGTAGAGGAACACAATATCTTTATTTTTATTTATTATTATGTGGTGCTGAGGATCGAATCCAGTGCTTCACATGTGCAAGGCAAGTGCTCTACCACTGAGCTACAGTCCCAGCCCCATAAGAATTATTTTTATTGACCTTTATACTCCTTAAAACTTTCCCATCAAACTTGTGTTTGTAGAGTGTCACTAAGGCCCTTTCCTCCTTCTCCTGAAGCCTAACCAAGAAGTGGCTAGCCAGCAAATCCCACAGGTGGCCTCAATGCAAGTGACTGAGCATCAACACTAATTCTTCAGTTTCTCAAGGGAAATCAATGGCAGAAGTTCAACAAGAAAAGCTGCATCTGTGACTCCAGATTGTCACTTTTTGCTAAGAAAAGAGCTACAAAACAGGTGAGCAGCATTTTCAGCACAGAGAATGAATCCTGAAAAGAGGAAGAAAGGAAGAATAGCTCCTTTGTGGACCTGGCCCACCTTCCCCTGTTAATCCACACATAGGATTTTTGAACCATCTGAGAAGACATGGAAATGTATATTTTTTACCCTTTACTTTTTATTCTTGTTTGAGCAGGTTTTTCTGGGAAGCCTGTCAACATTCCAGATAGCAATTCTATTGCATTGCCATCCTCAATATCCAGGTACTGAGGGTGGATTTTAACAGAGAGGATGTGGGGACCCTAAGCATCTTTCAAATTGTACCAGACAGGCAGTAGTTTCTCTTTGGCTATGTGAACAAAGATGTCTATTTCTGGGTTAAATATGGAATTTCAAATATAATCAGTTCAAAATAATCCATGTAGGGATTATTCTGTGATACTCTAGTTTTTTTTTTTTTTTTTAATCACAAGTTTTTTTTTTTTTTTTTTTTGTCAATACTGGGAATTGAACCCAGGGGTGCTTTTTCACTGAATTACATCTCCATCCCTTTTTGTTTTGAGACAGGGTCTTGTTAAATTGCTCAGGCTGGCCTTGAATTTTCCATCTTCTGTTTTAGTCTCCTAAGCAGCTGCGATTATAGGCTTACACCACTGAGTCTGGCAAAGAATGTTCTCATAATTCAACGTTTTATTTTTGAGAGGCTTCCACTTCTCCACTCATCAACATTTGATCATTCATCCATTCATTGACACCTACTGGAGCTGTAAACATAAAACATCATAACCTCCAAGCAATTACCACATGAGAGTGAAAGTGCTCATGTGGAGTTCTGTATAGAATGAGAAAAATACTGTTCAGAACATTCAATTTGATGAAAATCAGAAAGAGAAAATCAGAAAGCTTCATGGACTCTAGAATTTGTATTGAGGTAGACAGAGAAGTATAATATTTGCTAAGTGTATAAACTGGAGAAATAACATGTACAAACATTGGAGATGTGAGGGAAAACAGTGCAGTGGCTAACAACAGAGTTTGGCATTTTTGGCAAATAGTGCAAGGTCAGAGGACATTGAGTGATGAAGATTGAGCCAAATTGGAGGCAGTAAGAATTGGAAAGTAAGGAAAATTATGACTGGCAATTTAGGAGGTGAAATAAGAGGAAATGGTGATTTATTGGATATAACGGTGGTAAGTTCAGGTTTAGAGACATAGTGTTTGAAGGGCCATTGGATACAGAAGGATGTTCACAAAGCCCTTCAACATGCATGTCTGGAGCTTAGGAGATTTGTGCATTAGGAGACAGAGACACACGAAATAGCTGAGAACAATTAAGGAGAGTGTGTAGGGGGTTAACAGAGAAGTTAGCTGAAAATGAAGTCTCGGAAAATACCTAAGGTAAGGACAGATTAAGAAGAGCTTAAAGAGGAGACTTTGGGTAAAATACACACAACTTTGTTGTATTGTATATAGAACTAAAAAAAAAAGATAAATTTGTCATGGTAGAATCATGTAATGATTTTAGAAGTCATGTGTAAAAGTCTTGGAGATTATCCATTCTTTTGGTGCATTTCCACATTATTCTTTTTCAACATTTATGTAATAACCAGGATGACCATGAGTAGGTTTGGTGACTCAAGCCTTCTTGAAGAAAAGGTAGGCAAGCAGGGCAATGAGAACCTAGAGACACTTTCTCAGAAGGTCTTTGATAAGGATTTATCCTTGTCTGAATGAGAAGGGTTAAATAACATGAAGTATCTAGATGACATCTCAAGTTCCCTCCAGCCTTATGAGTCTCTAATTTTAAAAACTGTTAATAATGTTAATGCTACTGGACATTAACTCAAAAGAAGGGCCTATTAAAAGGCCACCTGGCCTTGAATGGGGGATATCCATTACTGATCTTCATTTCTCCATCACATTGCATAGAAAATTTTGCAAATGAAGCATCTGTGAGGTTTGTGGTATAGCTCCGTGGTAGTGTTTGCCTAGCATACAGAGGTCCTTGGTTGGATTCTCACCTCTGGAAATTCACATCTGATAATTTGGATAGAGGCCAGATTAAAGCACATCTTTACATTATAAAAAAATCCATTTCCTAAGTAGAAATGAACTGAATAAATAAGATACTTAATCAGGGACCATTTTACATGTTTTAACAACTGTAATGGATAGTATTAAAGCCACTGAAGTTCTTACGTAGGTTCCTTTTATGTTTTAGTGAACATCCTTTTAAACTTTTTTACAACAAAACATTTTTAGTCTACTTGTATGACTGTGTATATCAAAAGATTTAAAACGATCATTCCTTCCAAAAATTTTCATGTATTAATTTGGCTGGATTTCCATACAGTTTATTCTTTATAGGGAATAAAAACTAGAAGATGGAAGAACATTCCTGGCAGAGAGAACAGTTTGTGACATATTAGGTTGAATGGCAAACCTTAGGAACTGAAAGATGAGTGTATATAGAGAGAGGACCTGAAAAGTAGGAGGGTCTTGTCCTTGTTGTCAACATTGAGGATTTTTGTCTTCATCCTGAGAACAATGTGAAGTCAGTAGAATGGGAAATTGGGATACACATTATATATGTTTGTGTTCATGTGTGTACATGTATCATAAAATGAGACCTATTTAGAAATAAATTTCTTGATTCTTTCATCTTTTATGTTCTTATCAAGCCACAATAAGGTATAGCTACATATTTGGATTATCTTTCTCTGGCTTCCCACAAGACTACCTTCCTTTATCAAATTCTGATTAGTTAGTGACCTAAGAAATTGCCACGTGTAAAATATTTGCCTTTATTAAAAGTTTTTGTTGTAGATAACATCTCTTACATTGCTCAGTATTCCTCATAACAAGATTATTATAAACTTTTCACAAATTAGAACTAAAGTAAACTTTTTTTTTGAAAAACAAATGCATTGCTATTTACTTTATATCAAAAACTATGTAATCTACCAGAGGAGAGGGGAAAGAAATTGGAGGTATTAAGGAAGGAAATCGAATGAATTATGTTACTTGCATATATAAATATTTAATAACAACTTCCATTATAATGTACAATTATAATATGCTAATGAAAAAAAAACAGAAAAAAACCCTTGTGCAATCTATTAAATCTGTCTTTTACCTCAGTTGTCAGGAAACCCTGATATTAGTTTCATGCTTACTTACACTGCTTTGATCCTCTAGTATAATTGTTTTCTCATTTTTACTGGATTAAAAAAAAACTCTTAGTAAATAACTTTAAAATTTTACTAAGTATCTTAATGTTTCTTAGGGCCTCAGCATTATGAAGGATAATTCCTGACATCTTGGAGAAAACACTACAAAGCTGCTATGAATGGTTATCTTTGGAGGGGTTGTATGTCACTGGGAAACATCCTGGAAGGTTAGTGACCAGAATTATTACTAGTGAGGGTATTTAATGCCACTGTGTTTCATATAATCTGATCTTTTTTTTCTTTCTGTGGTAATGGAGTGTCTCGTAACTTAAAATCTTTCTGCATTAGGATGTTCTGTGCTTCTTGGCTGAGCAGCAGGTGGAAATACATTTCAGCGGCAAGAGCAGTGGCCTGGCAGAGCAGAGGGGATGGCCCAACAGGCATTGATCTCCTCTGACAGCAAATCAAGCGGTATCTGTTGGTGATCCCTACAACCAAGGGCCTCCTGTCCTCTGGTACTGAGCCTGGGAGTCAGAATCTAAGTCTGAGATCAAAATGTGATCTTTCTACCTTAACCCATCTCTCAGGGTGGTGGTATTCTTTAAACAAACACAGAGCCGTGGAGTTATAGTTAGTCATAGATAGGGTTGACAACCTATAGACCAAACCAGCCCTCTGCCTATCTGAGTAAATAAACTTTTATTAGAACACAACCACACTCATTTATTTACACATCATCTGTAGCTGCTGTTATATTACTGTGGTGGAGTTGCATAGTTGTGATAGACACTAAATGGTTTGCAAAGTTTAAAATGTTTACAATCTGGGACTGGGGTTATAGCTCAGTGGTAGAGCACTTGCCTAGCATGTGTGAGGCACTGGGTTCAATTCTCAACACCACATATCAATAAATTACTTAAATAAAGGCCCATCAACAACTAAAAAAGAATTTAAAAAATTAAATGTTTACAATCTGAATCATTGTAGCTATTAACTTCACAAATAATTGAAATTTAAACCATTCAAAAATAAAAAAAATGCTGAGCGAGTACTTGGCAGAGTTTGTTTATAATGCATGTAAAATTCTTTATATATGGTGTTATTTATTGACTTGATTTTTTTAAGTCTATGAAAATTTTCTAAGTCTCTGTTAAGTCTATGAAGAAGAACAGTTGCTATTGTTTCACTCTGATAAATAAAAAGATAGGGTACGCACGCACGCACACACACACACACACACACCAAATATTTACAATCTGGTCTTTGACAGAAAATTTGTCCCGGACTCTGGTGTGGAAGATTCTCTGAGCAGACTCACCGTGAAGACCTTCTCGGGTTGACCCCGGGCTCTCATGTTGGTGTCATGAATCAACTTCAGAATCATCCAAGCTTCATCGTGTTTTCCAACCTAAGAAATGTACAGGCAGTGAGGCTCTAGGGGCAAAACACATAGACCTCCTGATTTTCCAATAGCCATCTTGTACTCCCAGACCACCTAGAGTGTAATTGTGCAAAGGCATGTAGATAAGTCCCACCGGCAGAAAGAGATTATCTGGATGTCATTGAATACACTAGCAGTTCAAACAATGTGCCTGTAACTCGGAATAGTCCATGTGGATGGCAAAATTTCATTTACAAAATAATAAGGCATGTTCTCTTCATTGAGTGAAACGTTGTTTAAGGAGGAACATAAATATTTCTGGCCATGAGGCAGCTTTTCCACACATTGGTTGTTTAAAACCTGTCTTCATGAAATCTAACCCTCCATGGTTCCATGTAGGAAGGAAAACTGTTATCTGCCCAAGAGGCCAACATACTTCTAGGGTCAGCAAGGAACTCCTCCCAGTGTATGTGGGCTACTTGAATATGTGTCATAAACATTACCTCCAACAAGAACCGGGGGCTTTCGGGCATGAAGGTGAGGGCTACCACAGAACAGACGCAGGGCAGCGCGCAGACGATGACGAATACACGCCAGCTGTGAAACTGGTAGGCTGAGCCCATGCTGAAGCTCCACCCTGGAAGAGCAGACGGGAAGAATGAGCAAGGCTTCCCCTAGGAGCCTGTCAGGAGAGTCCCCCTGGCATCTCCACCTTGGATCTTTCAGTCGAGTTTTACTGTCCTCAGAGGAACAAGCTGATCCGCCATGGTGACCAACTCAGTTTTAAGTATACCATGGGCCAGTGCTGAAATAAAGATGCTTGACCCCGAAGGGCTTCAGGTCTAAGTAGGGGGTGCATGTGGGCTTATATATAATCAAATCCCAAAGGCCAACATTAATTAGGGAAAAATGCTTCATCCAATAGGTCACTGTGCTGGGTATCTGGTGTTTGTTCTTTCAGATCACTCTCCACTATTTTCCACCCTGCTGTCTGCCATGAAATGGCTCTCTGTAGACAGCATCCATGGCTCCCAGTTAGGTTGGAGTAAAGGAAGCAGCCAAGGGAACATTGGGTCTGCTGAGCGTGGTACCCAGCTCCAAACAGAAATGGAAGATTTCTAAATGTAACAAAAATAGAATTTTTATCTTAATATAGAAAAAACAACCACAGTGGGATGCAAACAGAAATGCCTTTAAGAACAAAATGCCAACCTTTGAATGAATATTAAAATGGTTGAAAGGAAAATGCAAACATGATTCTAAATGCAAAGTAATGAGGCGTATCAAATCTAATTGAAAACACAGAGGAGATTTATAGAGGCAGAGATGAATTATGTGGAGTGAAATTCTAATTTATAGCAAGGCTTGGTGTTTCTAAGACTTTCTGTGAACATAAGTCAGGTAGTCTACATCCCAGTCCCAGGAGAGCTGTATAATTATTCACTGTTCACAAAAGCCAAGTGAGATTCTGAAGGTGACATAACTTCCTCAAGGCCACAGAGCTGAAGTCACATATTAGAATCTTCCCGGTCAGGATTTGAAACAGAATTATATATCAACACATGGCCTCATGTGTGTACCCACTCACTCACTGAATTTGTTGACAAGTGATGTAAGCCTCAGTGACATACTATATTAATCTTAGATTAATAAATTTCCCTGGGAATTTAATATATGGATATTATGGGGGTTGATAAATTAATTTTTAAATAAATATTATGGAAATATGATTGCTCTCGATGCTTTATGAAAAGTTTTACCTATCCAATGCAGAAGAAATTCTATGATGGAACAGGGGAAATATAACCGCTTATTTCAAATTTGATTTCAGAGCTTCATATAAATACCTTTTTTTTTTTTTTAAAAAAAAGACATTCTAGGTTCTATTATTTTAAACATTGGAAGGAAAATGAAAGCTTTCAGCGATCTGTTAAATTTCAGGCTAGAGCACATTCCATAAAGTACAAGGAAGAGGATCAAAGACAAATGGAGGAAGGCTCTGGTACCATCGATCAAATATATTAGTTCAGAAAGTGAAGTTTGTAAAGGAGAAATTTACTACAGTGAGTAGAGTTGGATGCTTCTTGTAGATGGAATAATGCTTCCTCTCCCCAAAGACATTCTCATCCTAATCTTCAGAGTCTGTGAACATGTTACCCTGCATGAAAAGGGACGCAGCAAGAATTATTAAGTCAAGCATCTGGAGAGAAAGATTGTCCTGCAGTATGTGACTAGGCCAAGTGTAAATGCAAGTGTCCTTCAATGGACAAGAGGGAAGTAGGAGAATCTGAGTGAGAGAAGGACAAGAGTGGAGGGAAGCTGAGGTAGGACTGGGGAGATTTGAAGACGCCATGCTGCTTGCTTTGGAGATTGAGGCAGAGACCACAAGCCAAGGAATGTAGGTGACTGGTAGAAAAGGCCAAGACTCCTCTCCTAGCAAAACTCTGCCAGTGTACTTGAACTTCTGACCTCCAGAAGTGTAAGATAATAAATTTATAATGGTTGAGGCTGAAACATTTGTAGTGATTTATTGCAGCAGTAACAGGAAACTGATACACTCCTCTTTGTAATTACAGCTTGTGGTAGTTAGCTTTTTCACCACTGTGACCAAAAGACCTGACAAAAACAATGTAGAGGAGGAAAAGTTTATTTGGTGCTCATGGTTTCAAAGGTCTCAGTCCATAGATGGTTGTCTCTGTTGCTCTGTGCTCGAGATGAGGCAGAACATCAAGGTAGAGGGTGTGACAGAGGAAAGTAGCTCAGGATGTGGTGACAAGGAAGCAGAGAGAGGGCTCTCTTCACCAGGGACAAAATATATACCCCAAAGACATGCTCCCAGAGACCTATCTCCTCCAGCCCACCCTACCTGCAACCCAGTTAATCCATTCAAGTGGATTACCATGCTGATTGGATTAAGGGTCTCATAGCCCGATCATTTCACCCTCTAAATTTTCTGTGCTGTCTTACACAATACTTTTTGGAGACACTTCATACCTAAGCCAGACACAGTTCCCTCACTAGCTTGATGGGTGAAATTAAGTTGGAGAATTGTAGCTATTCTCTATGAAACTCCAGGCTCCCTGCTTTTGCATAGATTTCTCCAGATGCCCCTCCAAAGCCATCAGGCTCCTTCTCAACAGCTGGTTTTAGGAAGGTTGCTTTGGAACATGAAATCAGTGGATGAAGAGACTTACTACAAAGTGATTCCAGTTGGGAAGGTTTCAGTCTACCAAGGATATTGGATAACAATGTAAAATCAAAAGAGAGGGCTGGGGTTGTAGCTCAGTGGTAAAGTGCTTGCCTAGCATATGTAAGGAACTGGGTTCAATTCTCAACACTGCATATAAATAAATAAAATAAAGGTCCATTGATAACTAAAATAAATAAGTAAATTTAAAAATAAAAAAAAATAAGGGGCTGGGGTTGTGGCTTAGCGGTAGAGTGCTCGCCTAGCTTGTGCAAGGCCCTGGGTTCCATCCTCAGCATCACATACAAATAAATAAATAAAATAAAGATATTGTGTTCAACTACAACTAAATAATAAATAGTTGAAAGAAAAATAAATAAATAAAACCAGAAGAGAACTAACTGATCCAGAGGCCAGCTCTGTTCAGTTTAGAACAGCTGAAGATTAGCCTGTTCATTGCTGCTCAGGTCTGCCTCTATGTCATTAGCCATGAAGTCTGTCTTCTTATTCCTTGCATGGTGTACATGTATCCATGTGTGTATATATCCATACATGCACAATCACATGCATTTTGGTGACCTCTTTCTGTGTAAAGAATGTGTTGTCCACCCATTTCTCTTTTCATTTATTTGCAATATGCCTTTCTCCCATGCTCCAAAACTATTTTTAATCCTTTTGTCCATCCCTTTCCAAATATCCAGTCATCAATCTCATTCCTTATACTTGACCTCACTTCCTGATCCTTTGAGAAAAGAAACACAGAAAGAACTACATACATCTCATCTTCTCACTCCTCACTAGCCTGATTCGCCTTCTCCTGTCTCATCTCTATAGCAGATGACCTGTCCATGTGCCAATCTAAGGTCTGCTGGTTCATGTGGACTCTGAAGCCCATCTTTCTCTTCCTCACAGGGACAGAACTCTGGTAGTTACCTACCTCTCCTCTCCAGCCCTTACCAGCACGTTTTCTTACTTTACTTCAGGAGCTGTTCCTTCCACACATCCACGCCCAGCATCTAGTCACACCCCTTCCTTGGTCCCCACAGGCTTCTGTGGCTGCATTGCTTTTTCTTTCCTCGTCACAGCAAACACTTCTCAAAAGAATGATCGGTAGCAACTGTCTCCACTTTCTCACTCCAAACAGACTTCTGTCCTGAATTCCACACAAATGGGGCTGGTCAAGGTCACCAATTTTGCCAAATTTAGCAGTCACTTCTCTGTTTTTGTTACTCAAAACTTCCAAATCATTTTGTACAGCTATCTATTCCCTTGTTTTTGAAAAGTTTGTTTTCCTTAACTTCCTCATCAGTACTACTCTGTTTCCCACCTGACTGGCCCTCCTTAGCTGGTCCCCCAAAGTCTGCAAACCCCAATATTGTCATTGACTCTCTCCTCTGTCTATAGGTGGGCTCATTTATCTCCAGACTTCATGCACCCTCTC